TGGGTCAGCTGTCCTGGCTGTGCCCCCTCCCAGCTTCTTGTGCACCTGCAGCCTTCTCAGTCAGTAGAACATGGGAAGCTGAAAAGTTCTTGACTATAAGCACTACTTAGAATAACGTTGATAACACACCCATGTTTTAGTTGTTGCTCATACTAAATCCAAAACACAGCCCTGTACCAGCTACTAGGAAGAAAATTAATTCTATCCCAGCCAAAACCAGGACAATAAATTTTAAATCTGTACCTGCTGTGTTTAATTTTCTCATGATCAGAAATAGCTCCTTCTCCTCAATGAAACAAGTCCTTTCCCAACTCATGTGTTTGAAGAGTTTCCCCACACGTTTCTCGAAATTGCAGAAGTGTTTGTGGTAGCCATTCACAACCTGACTTTTGCCTTCAGAAATCCAAAAAGCATAAGATGACTGATTGCTGCCCTTTCACATTTCTTTTGCACTTATGGGAACACACATAATAAGCACAGTGTTTGCTACTGGTGGTGTTAATGTAATGCCGTTCCCATTGTCTGCCTTCATACAGTGCGTGGGAAGGGAAAGATTTTTTTCATAAATAAGAATTACTTATAAATTCAAGTACAGCTTGCTTTTTTTTTTCCAAGAATGTAGATGGATGCTGAACACGTCAGCAGGAAATTGATTTTTTTTTTTTATTCAAAATGAAGCTTCATGGGTATTTATTTGTGTGTGTATTGTAGATAGTCTCCTAGCTCTAGTGTAGCTGTTGGTAATAAGTCAAGCCTGTTTAGTTATGCTAGGAAGCATAACATTTGTCATCACATAAATCACGTGCTTGCAGGGTGGCTGTGAAAGTCTCAGTTTTCAGTATGCTTGTCCACATACTGGACGAAGTTCTGGCATGGAAGCCCATGGTTTCAGTTTTCTTTGACTTTATGGCACTTCATTTGCCAGCTGTTATCATCTGAACATAGTATGTCCTTATGGAGACACCTGCTCCCAAGGAGACCCAAGAGCAGTGTCACTGCTACTCAGGGTCCCAGAGAAGGGAAATGTTAATGCTCCTTCTCAGCTGCAGGACAAGGAGGAGGTCTGGCACTTCTGAAGCTGGAGGCTGTGATCCGCAGTGGTAACTAACACAGAAAACAAGCAATGCTTGTCCGGCACCTTGGCTGTTCCTCAGTACAGAACTGTAGCAGAAAAGAAAGAGCTGCTTGGAGGAATACGAAGAAATGCATCGTTCTTATGGACAACTGTATCTCTGAAAAACTTAAACTTTCATATTGATATGGGAGCAGAGGAAAAATCTGGTTTTCAATGAAGACTGTTTGGGAAGTGAAAACATTTTGTTCTCTGTACCCTTGTGGTACTTTCCTAGTACTTTGAAATCTTCTAGTGATGTTCACTTAGAAGCAATGGCTTGCAGTAACCCTCCAGGTCAGTGGTAGAGCTGAGAAAGAAACTACAACTCTGACTGTTTACTTCTTTGTGTCCTGGCTACTGGAACTAATCTTCTCTTCTGTTAATAGCAGATAAAATAACTGTATGCTGATTATATTCTGAGATGGTCACACTGAAGGCAGCATAAGTGCAGCTTGCATGACGAAGAGTGAATTGTTGAATTCAGTTAAAGGAAATGCCCCATGCTAATTTTGACTTCTTGAGGATCTGGGACAGAACCTTTGTGAAGTATAAGTTTGCCCTTATATTTTTTTTGAAGAAAAATACATATATATTAGCACAACTATGGTCTAGGTCAGCATTTCATCTTCTGTGATTACATATATATGAACAACCAGACTCTGAAATAAAATGTGTATCCAACCAGAAGTAACACCTTCGAGAGCACCTTCTTTGATCCTAGGAAGCTGAATGAGAATAGCATTTGGAAAAATTAGTTAGAACCTGATGTGTTTCAGTTTGTTTTGCTTTAGAAGTCTTTTAGAATTTCGCAAAATAAAGTGGAGGCACAGCGATACATAACTTTGTTTGAGAGCCAGAACACACATGAGATAGTATAACCCCTTTGATTCAGAACTTATTTTTCTTAGCAAGCTTTTTCAGTCTCTTGTTGCAATGAGACCTTGCTTCTGACAATAATTAGGTCTGACCTTGGGGAGCCAAGGAGTCAAGTTTGTCCTGAGCTTGGTAGTGATACTGTATTTCAACATTGATTGAGAAATGTGAAAAACAGTAATTCTTTTTCTGTATTTTCTTCTTTTATCTGTCATATATTTCATTTCCATTTTATGTGCATGATGTATATATGGGTACCTGACTTACTGTGATAAAGTTATCTTCTGTATCAATTTGCGAATACCATCTAAAGTTATGTTTGTCTTTAGAAAATAATCATAATGCGTAGTGCTCACTGTATTGCTCACTTATGGAAGGAATAAGTCTAAGCTTCTGTTCCTGTCTGGAGCCAAATGGTTTGGAGTACTTAACATCAGAGTTAATGGTTTTATTTAGGTGTTTTCTGGCAATACCATACAGCCAGGATAACAAATATTTTTGACCACAGTTTATGCAATGCTTTCTGCTGCAAGCATGGGTGCTAAAGGATTTAGGAAGATCCAACAGTTCTGTGGGTTTCTTGGTTTAACTTTCTGTTTGTGTATAGTAAAATATTTCATTTGATGCTGTTGCCAATCTTTACATTTTATTCTTCTGTCTTTCAGATAATCATTGTAAAATTAGGGTGACAACAGCTTACCCACGTCTGAAACAGCACGTGTCTAAACACAGCAGCTAGGCATTCTTTCCTACTCTATTGATTTTCTGGTAAACAGAGGTGTGCATTAAATGATGCACTTTTACTTTGTCCTCCTTGAGAAGCTACAAAATCTCCCTATTCTTGGTTTGACCAACCTAGTTTTCTGAAACGCAACATTACCACAAGTTAAGGTTGAGACATTTCTTTCCTATTCAGGTGTTCATAAAATTGATTTAGCAAAAGCCACTAGAAAGTACAGCCTCTTGTAAAATTAGGCAGACCTCAAGCACAATGTAGAGGAAAGATTCCTCAACACCAAAGGATGGGAAGTGGGACCGAGTCTGGGGTGACATGGAACAGCAAATGTTACATCTGTTCTCCTCATCTGTGAACTCCATAGGAAATGTGTAGATACACTGACATTGATCACTGTATAAATTACAAATTTTGATTTGGTTCCCTGCCCCCCCCCCCTTTTTTTTTTACTGTTGGTGTAAAACTACTAAAATAATCACTCTAACATACTTCTGCTACATGATGTAGCTGTAAGCAACATAGTAATAGCATGAAAAAATGTATTATTTATGCTCTTTATGATTATTTTGAGATTAAACATGGTGCCCACTGTGTGCTAGTTGAACACAGCTTGTCTCTGACACAACTGCACCACTATGGGTTTTGCAGAGAGAGCTGGTTGTGAGATGGTTTAGTCCCAGCAACTGTGTAGGTTTCATTGCAAAGTCTTTTATTACCCATGAGCCAAAGTAGCATCTCAAGACCCAAAATTCATCCTAACATGCTATTGGTGAGATAAAAGACTCTGATTTAAATTTTGCATAAAACTTCAACTGGGAGTCCATTTTGAGAGGCTTTTAATGTAGAACTCAGTGTAATTGAACTTGCTTATTGGAGAACTATCACAGTTGCAGTTATTTTGATGATTAGTATGTGTGTACACTGGGGAGACTTATGTAGTACGTAGTGATATAATATGTATTATCACAATACATAATACAGGGCATAATGTTTTATATGAATATGAAACTGTGAAATATAGTTTTCTTTTGGTGTTATTTATATTCTTAAAGTACATGTAGTGGTCTGGCTTACCAGGGAGGCAGCTGAGTTAGCTTTGTTAGTATCAGCTTAGCATACAGCTTGAAGTAAGATCCTATTTTGAATTATTTCAAAACAAAATGTAGGATCCATATATCCATGAATGTACTCAGCTAAGGTGCTCATTTATAGCACTTCTGCTAGCAAGGTGAGAATAGGAGGGTTTAAAAGATTATTTGAGTTCTTATAAAATAAGTGCTTTTGCTTTAAAGGGGGTAGGGGGAATATATAAAACTGAATCAGTAAAAATGAAAGCATGAATGCAGACTTTGGTGAAAGGACAAAATTATGCATGCTTCATCCATGCAAGTCATACCATTGACTTTAATGAGTTGCAGGAATAAAATGAACAAATTTTAGAAGAGAGAGTTTTAAATAAATAAATACAAAGAAAAACCAATGCTAAGGGCTATAGTGTAATTGTTTTGTTTGTCTTGGAGGAGTTAAACTGTTCTTGTACTCATGTGGTCTGAGCAGAGCTCAGAGTCTGGTTTTTACAGTAAGGTCTATTTTTTCAGTGTTTCTTGCTCTAAGCAAAGGTAAGGAAGGAGTAGAAAAGGACAGATTGTTCTGGTTTTGCACCTCTCTTCAGTAGACAGCTGGGTCTTAAAGCTACTCTACACAGGTGACTAAGAACAGTCCTGTAGAGCAGTGAGGGATTGTGACCTGCCAAGTCAGTCTGTGGGGCATCCCCACGCATGCTCTCAAGGTGGGTTTGTTTACAGTGCATGTTGTAGGCCAGCAGGAATATGCCCTGTAGTGCACGTGGGGCCCTGTGTGCTGCCTGCACAACCGTGTCACTGCTCTGCCACCAGTGAGACCACGCGAGACTGCTGGTGGTGCAGAGATTGCCTGCTAGCCACATGGATGAAAGCAGACAAAGTCAGAAATACCCCCATGCTCTGGAGCCTCCTTTCTCCTATCAGTATGGATGTAGTCTTTGAATTTCCATGAGTCTGCACAGGGATAAAGATGGGTAGATGGGAAGGAAGGAGTGGCAATGCCAATGCAAAAAATTGCTAATTGTTTCCATGTTAGGCCAGCAGCTGTGAGAAATAGGAGATTGAAAAAGTGTGTGGGTTTTTTCTGGGTTTTTTCCAATTTTTTTTTTTCCCCCCAGCATCTGAAATCAGATTTACAGTTGCTAATTAAAAACAAACTGCTTTCAAAATCAAGAATCTCTTTGCATAGAAAAAGGAGCAGCAAGCTCTTTATTTAAATACCTCAGGCAATTTGTGTAAGGATATAGAGCTCTTTGATACTTTGGATTTGATAGTACTGGCACCATCTATTGGTCTTTTTCAGTGAAATCAATTTATGCTTTGAGTTCAGTTTCTCAGAAACATCATAAAATCCATTGTCACATAGGTACTGGTAAAAATTTTGTCATGAAAAAAATACCAAGAATAAATCCTGTTTACCTGCCTGTATAATGTTTCAGGACAATTGGCAGGCTAGCATGCAGAATTCATCCATTCTTTCTTGGGCTGTTCCAGTTCTGTGAATAAAGAGAAGACTTGCTTTATGGAGGTAGTGAATTTCTTACTATTAAACACAACATCAAATGAATTAAACCAAAGAAAGATAGACTTTTCTTGTAGAAGCAATAGCTAAATTAAAATTCGTTGTTCCGTATGCAGAGATGGAGTTGGAAATAAGAATTTTGAGAAGAAAGAGAATAAACCAATATTAGAAAAAGAAGGCAGAAAAGATTGAAAAATGTGTGTGTAAGGACTGCAACAAGATTGCCTATCAAAAGATAATCTAAGCTAAGACTGATAGTTTCTTAAGCAGATAAAGTTAAGATAAAAATACTGGGCATGTGGAAAAGGTATAAAAGCAGAAGGAGAACAAATGTGGACAGATGTGCAGTGAGCTGAATTTGAGTTTCTCTTTGCATCTCTATTGTAAGTTCTACTCAGCTGTAAGAAGCAAGGGTGTATGACCCAGGGCACTTCCCTGATCATTCAGCCTTGCCTTGGTTGGTATTCATTGCTTGTTTAATGACAACTTTTACAGTCCAAAATTATGGAGAAAAAAAAAGAGCAAGCCTAATCAAATCACACTGTTCTTCTCCTGCATGTTTAAATAAAATATCTATGAGGGGAAAATAGCCTGTATGATGACAAGACAGACTGTTGTCCTATTATTTCTGTAGCTTAAAGACCAGATATCCTTACTCAGTTTGTAAAGTATTTTACTCCTTGGTACTATAGAATCAAGCTAAGGTTGAATGAACTATGATGCTACTTAAAGGCTGCAACTGGAACTGAAGCCTTGTTTTGCTGCGTGCTCTGTAAATGTTTAAAATAATTTGGCCCTAGATTGAACAGTTAATAATGTAGGCAGAAGTAAGCCCTTAACATCAGTAAATTTGCACTAAAGAAGACAGTAGCATATTGATTTCTGAACATAACTCAGCTACCTGAAATCAAATGCCCTCCAGTCTGCAGTTCAACAGCCGTATTAATACCTTACTGTTTTTCTGAGGCACACAATGAAGTATACATAAGTACATGTTTGGAAGAAACTTGCGTTGCTGGAAGCAAAATGCATGTCTGTATAAATAACTGTTACAGGCTTGCTTATATACCTGATTTTCTATATAAAGGCTTGGGGTTTTTTTCCATTTAAACAGAGCTTTGTTTAGATACACAATCACTTTAATCCAAGATTCAAAACACTGTATGATTTTCAGCATTGAGGCAGGATGCTGTGTGCTTACTAGGTCTAAGATTAACATCTTTGAAAATTTACACTGCAGTAGATCACTGGTTTGTATCTCTGAGGATGTGTATGGTTCATGATGCTGTTCTCACAGAGAGGTCATTTAGGCAGTTGTTCCGAACTGTTTCTTCTGTCCCCTTCACTAAATTACCCCAAAGAAAGAAAGGAAGATAAATGGCCTCATCTGAAGCTGTAGTAAAAACACTTCATGGCCAGTTGCAGAGGAAGGAGAAAAAAGGTATGTAATTGCTACCAAATGCTGATGCTTCTGCAATCTTAACTAGCAAAAGACTCTGAGCACTGGGGAAGAGTGTCTGAAAGCAGAGACTGTAATGTGAAGGTTTGACTACTTCTCTGGACCAGTGAGCGAGACACTTCAGGCAAGACTGTAATCATAAGCTTGGGGCAACAGTATTTTTGCTTTAATAAAATATCTTTTTTTTGTTTGCAGTGGCCTGCAACACGCAAGTCTCCAGGTATAAACGGCCTGTATGGCAAATATTCCTGTACCTGCTGCAAGAGAAGATAGGATGTTTTTCTGTGTCCAGGGGACCTTGGAGGTCTGTGATTGTGTTTATCTTGCAGCTAGGTGAAAAGTAGTGCTTTACCACATCCAGATCTATAGCAGTCTGCAAGATAAAATTGCAATGTGGGTTTTATCAGGGGAGGAGATGTGTCAGTTTTCATGGCATCTGAAAGGAGAGTGAATTCAGTGTCCCCAAATTGTCTGTGTTTCACAGACAAGTGCTTTAGGTAAATCATGATCTGTATAGTTATACCACCAGGATTTGGCCCTGCAGTTCCAGTTTATAAATAACTTTGCCTAGAAATCAGATAGCAGCATGTGCAGGTGTGAGTCATTAGTGCAGGAGACACAATGATGTGTGGAAAAAGCATGGCTCACATCCAAACCAGCCCACACACTTTCATCAGCCCCTTGAAGTCTGCAGCACAAAAAAAAAAAAAAATCAAATTTTTCAAGTCAGGCTGCTGTAGCCCACCCAGTCTTAAAACTCAAAGATGCAGTAATATGGAATGCAGTGCTTCTCCTGGTGCTTTGTCGATCAGTTGTGCTCAAAAG